TTGAATATATAAAAGTTATATCAATTTTGAAGAAAACATTAACAGACTCTAATGTCCAGTTTTATGAATATAGAAAATATTTAAAAAAAAAATAACAAAAACATTCACGGTAGATTTTACATAAAAGGATATAAAATTTATAGCCACTAGACTTTATTTATAAAAAAAATTTGGGAGATTTTAATCCACATTAAACACACTTACAATTAAATATATGATGTTATTTATTTTGACAGAACGAATAAACGTCGCTATCAGTTATTGTGATATAAATTTTGTAGATATTCTGTAAATCATTTTGCAAGATTTGCAAGGACACGTAAAACATTGTAACCTATTAATATTTATCAATGTGTAACACAGTCGCATTTTTTATTTTATTTTACAAAGGTTTCCTTTTTAATATCTTACAAAACTTCGCACAGATTGTAAAATGATACCTCAGTGATATCTTTTTGTATTATTTAAAAGATTATGATGTATTTTAGTAAAATTAAATTTTATAATTAGTTATGATTTTACAGTTAGTTGTGATTTATGTGATAAAACTTAGAAGCATTTAAGTGTAATTATGTAATATAACATCGTTCTTTATAGATACAAATAAGATAATATACATTTTCTTATAATAATAAAAAAAAACCATTTCTAAGTTTTATAAACAAATTCTCCCATTGCGTTTTAATTTTACTAGATAATTAGTTTTACTAAGATATTGAATTCGTCTAAAAAAACTTAGTGTTTTTATCATTATTTTATACATCACACCAAAATATTTGTAGATAAATAACAAATTATACATCATGCAGTTAAATAACAATCCAAGATTAATGCATTGCCAAAGATACATTTATAAAATATACGAATAATTATTATGAGTCGTACGCCAATCAGTTTAATAACATTCCGAACATAAGCTACACATATAAGGGTATGATAGTGCAGTATATTATATAAGTACACATATATAGGGTGTTTCATAAATGCATGTCAATACTTTAGGAGGTAAATCTATATACTAAAATAAACAAAAAACATCATATAAACATATGTTGTACATATCTTAGCTTTCAAGTTATGAATGATTAAAGAAAATGTTCAAAATGCTCGCTTTGTTCATCAGCATACGTTACTGTACATTTTAGCACATCTTGACATTATCTAATGTTTATAAACAATATCTATCAATAAATCGGACAGAATTTCAAACAGTCGGTATTTTATGTTCGCGAATTAATGTTCTAAATACTGTTCTGAAAATGGTAAAATGGTAATGTACACTTATGCTGAAATGGCCGGCATGCATTTGATGTACCTATGATCAGTCTGCTCGATGGTACTCTGTCTCATTTCCATCTTGAAGTGAGAACATTCCTAAACAATGCATTCGCAAATCGATAGATAGGGCGAGGCGGACCCACCCTACAACGATCTCCTCTGATCTCAGTCCATTAGATTTTTTTTTTTTTGGGCCATTTAAAATCCATTGTGTATTCAACGCCAGTAAATAATGCGGATGATGTGCGAGAAAGGCTACGAAATGGATTTGAGACTATTCGAACAATACCTAGTATTTTTGAACGAGTGCTGGACTCAATGCTAATGGTGTGTTGACGCATGAGGCGAATACTTCAAATATTTTCTTTAATCGTCCATAACTTGAAAATTAAGGTATGTCGGACATATATTCATATGTTTTTTACTTATTTTAGTGTATAGATTTATCTCCTAAAATATTGACATGTATTTATGAAACACCCTGTATACAGAGAATGGAAGTAATTCGTTACTTGTAACGAAGTTACAGTTACAAGTTACTTTTTTGGTAACTTTACTGGTAACTGCGTTACTTTTTTTTGGTAACTGTAATGGTAACGTAGTTAATTTTTTTTTGTAACAGTAACAAATATAAGTTATTTTTATCGTTACTTTACACATGATTGGACAAAAGCCACTCATAGCGCTTGAGACTAAAAAATTCTTAGGCCGCTATGATTGATGGTCGTCGATTTTTAAAAAATAACGAAAAAGTAATGAAAAGTTACTTTCTCAAGTAACGATAATTGTAATAAGTTACTTTTAAAAATTGATAACTAATAATGGTAACTTGTTACTTTTTTACTCTGTAACTTGTTACTTTTAAAAGTAACTTTCTATTCCCTGCATATATATAGTATATATCATATAGAATGTATCATATAAGAATATACATTGTTAAAAATTTCATGAAATTTAATATATTTTTACAGAGAATTTTAACTTAATTTCATGACATTGCATTAAATTTAATGTATTTATAACTAAAAAGTATATTTGTGTAAATGTACATGAAATTAATGTACTTTTTATGAAAATTTATTAAATTTAATGTGATGGGCAGGATCATTTCAATATATCGAATATTTTAGCTTTACATCTCAGATTTCGACAGTGTTAAGACCCTCTTGATATCTCTGTGTTATATTATTATTTTTGTACATATTTTTTAATTATTTTTTACTTTGACTAATCTACAGAATATGAAGAAGATATTCAACATTATTACTGGGCCAACTTATTGTAAATTTAAGAGGAAGATCACAGCATTATAGACGTCATACGATTATGTGACTTCTGGAATAGACGAACTACAAGTTCCGATGGGAAGCCGATTGAATCTTGGCCGTTTTATGCCATAATTATTATTTCCAACATGCGAGTACACACGCGCTTTCTTGATATATTAACATCTTGCGTAGTTAATGGTAACATTAAAATTTATTTTTTAACATTGAGAAGGACCCGATAGGGGTCGAAACATCTGTACGTTTTGATATTGCTTACAATAATATTGTTACTCATACGTTATCCTGAGTTGGTTCTTAGCCCTGTATTGTATTGTTTAATTTTTTAATTATTGGAACCGTTATTATTTATGGAAATTTAACGTATACGTTCATTACATTTAAGTAACTACTGTAACTTAATTTTCAAAAAATCATTTATTACTTTTAATTTCGTTCATAACCATGAACTTCATTTACATGTAAAGGAAGCTTATGGTTACATTTCTAACAGTATAGTATTGATTATTGATGAATGATGAAAATACATTTAATTATTTTTACTGGGAAGAAGTATATGTGATGATAAATGCATTAATTTCATGACATTTGATACAATTTTGTAAATGATAATCCTTAAATATTTATTTTGTAAATAATTTAACTATTGATTATATGTGAAATATTACGTAACTTATCCAACAAAATATTATATTTGAGCAAAGATATCATTTTAATTATGGGAATAAAACTACGGATATAAACAAGATATAAAACATCACATAAAAATTATACTTATTTTAAATCATACCTTATTATTTCAGTCATTATAATCAACATCAAGAAGTTTAATCAATAAATTGCTGGATAGTTTTAGGCTTTGCGTGTAATGAAGGAGATATTAGGAATAGGAATAAATATAAAATATTAGAGAAATAAAAAATTAGGAATAAAGATTAAACATAACATGTAATAGATACGAATAAGATATATAACATAATTATACAGGGTGATTCGTATAAAGTGACTGATTTATTAGTTATTAGCGAAATTTGAAGACATACGGAAAAATGATTTATACCAACATGTTCAGTACAAAAAGGGACATCATATAGTGAAAATAATTATTTTATACGGACCGCATTGGGGACATTTCAAGGTGACTTCATTTTTTAAAATAGAATGCCATATTTTTTATTACATTGTATGATAGCCCTTTTTAAGACAAATTCATTGATATATTACATAAGGACATTCAAGATCAATCTAAGTCACAAATTCATAGTAAAGTAAAATACAAATGTATGCCTTGTATTTCCGTTCCTTACTATGGACTCGACGACAGATGAATTCGGTGCGTCAAATGTATCCTCTAATAACTCGTGATAATATGATTGCTCGAATTATTACAACGCTTCAAAATATTTTACCTGAGATACTAAGAGCAGTGGATCATTTAACATACCGAATTCATCTGTGTCGTCGAGTCCAAGTAAGACAAAATATTGAACATTTATTGTAAGGAACGGAAATACAATTTACTTTACTATGAATTTGTGACTTAGATTGATCTTGAATGTCCTTATATAATATCAATGAATTTTTTTTAAAAAGGGCTGTCATACAATGTAATAAAAAATATGGTATTCCATTTAAAAAAATAAAGTTCACCTTGAAATGTCCTCAACGTGTCCATCCATAAAATAATTATTTCCACTATGTGATGTCCCTCTTTGTACTGAACATGTTGGTATAAACCATTTTTCCGTATGTCTTCAAATTTCGCTAATAATTAAATCGGTCACCTTATACGAATCACCCTGTATATATATTATATTTATATCCTTATGTATTTAATCTTTAATTCCTCTTCTTTTTATGTTAGGTCTCTGTTTTGTGTTACACCTCTCTCACACGCTTGTGGTGTGTACGCTGATTATTCAATTATCACGAGCATCTTTAATTATAATTTTCTTATTTCTTTAATATTTAATATTTATTCCTAATATTTTTCTATTATATACAAGACCTTACATTCTACGATAACGTTACTTGTCACAAGAAACTCTTTTATAATTTTGTAAAAAACATCAAAAAATATGCTAAGATAATATACTGCATATGTTAGATTCAAAGATCGAAAACGCTCACAGGGCGAAAAAATCGACCACAACGCATTATGGCATTTTAACTTAACGTGGGCTGAATCTCAAACGCCATAACGCGTTGTGATCAGTTTTTTTGCTCTGTGAGTTTTCGGTCTTTGAGCTTAACATACAATAAGTTACAAAAATTTACAGTGGAAACTGTAAAATCATCAAAAATTTCTTGTATATACACTAAGGCCCGTATTCAGAACGCGCTTTTATCGATAAAAGCGCACTTTTATCTTTGAAATTCTATAATATACGTGACGTAAAGTATAGTATGTTAGTGTGCTAACATCGTTGTAAGCGCGTTCTGAATACGGGCCTAAGTGTTAAAAATCTACATTAGAGAAATTGAATTGATACAATACATTAACCGTAGTGAACAAAGTCCATATAATCATCCTCAGAGTCTTCTTCATCGCTAGATGGCACAACAGGCATTAAATATGTTATATTATGTTCACGTTTGTACCGTTCGAATCTGCCTACTATAAAACAAAATAAAACATACATGAATAACAGCAAATTCGATTGGACGCAGTAGTGTGTAATGCTGCATATTAAAGCTACGGTATACTGATTTAACGAATGTAAAAGAGTAAAATGCAGATATTTTGAATTATAAAATATATATTTTACTTAACAGCATAATAAAACGTATTGAGGATTTCACGGTTTAATTCGTCTTTGTATTTATATCAAACACACATTTTTACATCAATTATGTACGATTTTAACGTACATTGAGTGCGTCCAATCGTGCGAATTTAATATAAGGGTGTAGTCAAAATCTCACTACAAATGCTCTAAAATATTTGATTGAACAATCAGAAGAATTTTACTAATTGACCAATCAACGAATGATTCAAAGCATTTGTAGTATCACATTGGCCATATCCCAAGTTTAAAAAGAATTGGAAGACTAACGCCCTGTGTCCATGATGCTATAAATTAATCCAAGATTTCGAGTTATAGCATCACAGACACAGGACTTTAGAACTCATCTTTGTTCATTTGCAAATAACAGCTAAGTATCTTGTAAAAAAAAAATATATGTATAAGTAAAAATAATTATTCTTACTGTCATAAGTATTTCGAACGTGATTTGTCTCTTCTATACGTTCTGGGTCGTACGATATAAGTGGATTCTTTTCTTTGGATTTGATCAATCTTAACCATGGATACCCTATTGAAACGAAAATAACAAAATATACCAGAGATGTAAATCTGTTCTTCATAGAAATAATAGCTGCTTTCCATTTACACACAAGTAAAACTGAGTCTGAAGTGAGCTGAGTACTTCATACTCAGATTAATGACATCATTACTTTGGTAAAAAGTTCAAATTATATGACAACATGGGTTCATAATCTTATTTTTAAAGTCTCGAATTTATACGAGACTCGTTAAAATACATAGTTTCGATCTTATGCAGATTATAGGTAAAGACTCAGTTGAATCTCATTTGTCAAAATGCAAAAGAAACACACTTTCAACTGAGTTATGACGTAACAAGTGAGAATTATCTAAGAATTGATATAAATGAAAAGCAGCTATTTTATGGTAGGAAAAAATTACTGTACATTTGAGTGCCTTCAAAAGATAGATCTTAATTTCTCTCACGAGATTTTTGTGCACTGTCTTTTCCGCTACCACTGCTCCAAACAGATACAGAATGAGGTAGTATTTCTTGCCGTTTATCTCTGTACTGCAATGAGATATGAAATTGGATTGTTTCATGTATATCAAATACGTGTTTCTCCTTTTCCTCTACCACATCTGATTACCTGAATTGTAAACAACCATTTTCAATTCGGAGGTAGTAGTCGGATACGTCGGTCAATTGAATAGAAATAATAACGCTGAGATCTGTCTGATACCATTTGATTGTTGGGTTACGGTAGTCAGAAACGAGTTCCGGGCAGTTCATGACTGTAATCTTCTCACCGAGGATCGTTCATTTAAGCCACGTTTTCTTCGAACAATGATATACGATACTGTTGTGGTACTTTGGTTGCAACGGTGGTCAGTGTGATGACTCCAGTGACTGTAGTGAATGTGGTCACAACTCGCAAGTCACGACTTTAAAAATTATTCCTATTTTAAATGTGTGTCATATATATATGTACTGCCAGTATTGAAAATCCATAATTTCGTAACGCATACTGTGGATTTTTAATGCTAACAATATATAATATCCGAATACGGCAGTATATCTAATATCCGAACTTGGCCTAAATTAGGTTAGATTAAATTCAGGTCCGACATAATTTATTATCTTTTATTATATAAATGTTGTATAAATAAGTTTGCATACTTATTGTACCGCTATAATATATCTTACATATTACTACAAAATTACAAGTTTCTCTCTATAGTTACCATATTTATTGATTATCAAACTGATGATAACGTTAAAATCATAGTTTTAAGTAAAAATCGAGTATTATTGAGTTTTAAACACATGTAATTATGCACATGTCCACGAAACTAATAAATCCTAAAATTAGTATTATATTTATCAGTTTCTTACTCAGTCACTCACAAATTTTAACAGTCATGAGAAAGACCGGCCGTTTTTAATAGTATCTTGTCCGTGGTTTTACTCATGATGTACAAGATGTATCATTTTATCTTTCTTTAATATTCGGTGATATCAATAAGGTGATAAAATATGCGTAGAACGGTACGCAAAACATCTCCATTGGCCAGCTAGGTTCTACTGGGTTGCATTGAGCTGAGCTCCACCGTGAAGCCTTCACGGGCTCCACGTGCTTTCATGTGGTCTGTTTTCTATTCTTCTTCTTCTTCTGTTTCCCCTTGATTGGTTTTCCGTTTGTTTTCTGTTCCTGCACTAGACTGTTCTAGAACTCTCTTTCTCGCTTTAGGGCCACTTTCACCAAGCTCAGTTAACTTAACCAGCCTAGTAACTGTAAGTCCGGATTTACAATAGGGTTTGAAGGCCCGTCTACAATACACGGAGTAAGAAGTAAGAGTAAGAAATTGACCAATCACAGTCGAATGT